AAAAAAAAAAATCAAATACTCATTAGTTATATAGTTTGTCAGAATTAATAAATAATAGTAATAATTATAACATAAAATTAAAATTAACATCGATCAATTAGATTAGAATATATAGTTAGTTTCGATCAACCTTTCTTAAATAATAATAATAAAGTATACCAGCAGCGTACGGTACAAGTCRATGTGCGAACGTGCATTCGGCCACAGTCACGCGTGGACCTCGGGCCTGATCGGACCGTAGTTGTCATTGATTTTACTAAAATATACCTTTAGCCACATTTTTTTGTTTATATTACGGTGGATTATATTATAATACATATTGTAAATTTTTATTTAATTTAAGTTAATCTTGTGTGGACTTAATTTTTTTTCACAGCCCGAATACTATCGTGACAATTCGGAGTTTTTRTGCGTAGCCAACGGTAATCGTTATCAGTTAAAAATTCCTCACGCCAAACTGACACATACGGGGACGTACACACTACTGGCTGCTAATCCACATGGACAGATCAAAGCACTAATATCTCTTCAAGTCTACTCGACAGGTCGGTTGTAGCTTTGCTCATATCATAATAGTATAATACCTATTATTTACATTGAATACGTGCATCGCACAAATGYGATATTATTATTATTATCRCATTGTATTCATGACGTCACTGATTGGAAATTAGTAAAACAATCTTCGCGTCGTAGACATGACCCTGCCATGATGGTGATGAGAAAATATTATAATAGTTATGTTGTTACTATACGTCATGATGTGGTTCGACGAGAATACCTAAATTGTAGATAATATTATTAGAATATACGTCAAACAAAATTACGGAAGCGAATCTTCGCATATTGTCCCTCATTAAATTCTACACACGCACATCGTTTCTATCGCGAGATTATAGTTTCACTAAACGATGTATATTAATTATTATTATATTTTCTCCAGGACACTGCAAGAAAAAAATGGAAAATGGGTCCAACTACGCGTAAGTTTCATCACGTWGCGTCGCTGTAAAGTATATAATACGCTATCAAATTATTGATGTTTCATAATAATATACGAATTTACAACCGTTAGCCACAATGTTATTATGTCTATCTGTGTGTTTAGAACGGTGGAAAGATTACCGAGAATAAGTCGAGGGCTGGTCGACATCGAGTGCCGGGAGAACGATAGCGTTTCGTTCGAGTGCAAGTTGAACATCACACAAGAGACGGACATTAGATGGCAAAAAGACGGCAAAGTATGTACCTATAAAATACAACCTAAAACCTTACGTACACTAAACTATTGGAGGAATTCAGTACCTAACATTTTATGTTGTTATGAGCGCGTATACTGAGAAYACATATTGAAATTAAATTGTAATTGTTGTCTATTTGTTTTTCGACAAATCTCTCCCGCCYGTTCCCTGCCAGTTGGTGAGATTAGGTAAACAGATTAAATCTCAGCTGGTCGACGGTGATACTGCTCGTCTCGACATATCCAATGCGAGCCCACTGCACGAAGGACTATATACGTGCACTGCTTTCAACGAATTGGGCCAAGATTCGACGTCGGCCCGACTGATATTGTTGTCAGGTGAGTTAGTCAAATGAAAATGGCAGACTGTTGACGAGAATATATTTCACTATGATATTATATGGCGTTAAAATGTTTTAGATTCGGAAGCGATTGCCAAGGCACCGCAGTCGAACGGACTGCGAAAGACTATGCTTAATTCACCAATACTAGCAGGTAAGACAAAATTAAGATTGATAACAACACTAAATTATCMTATATATAGGTGAAAATGAGTTTAAAAAATGTATTTGAATAACATAGTATATTTCTAAGTTTCTAAATTGTGCTGTATACTAGTATACATAGTGATTGTTTCAAATGTATTAATTTTTTACACATCTATTATGATAAGTATTATTTTAAATCTTAGTATTACGTGTTTAAATCGTGTAAAAATAACACTTTAACTATTCAAAATTCTAAGACCTTCTGTAAACTGTAAATACTTACAGGTGAAGCGAACGACCGGTGTACCAAGCGGTTGAAGCGAAGCAGTGCTCCGAAATTTTACGCCGTACTACACGACCGGATTGCCGACGTTGGCGAAACGGTTCGGTTCTTGTGCAGTGTATCCGGTCATCCACCACCGTGGTCATCGTGGGAAAAGGACGGCCAGCCAATCGGCGTCAATAGCAGAATGAGAATTCGCGAGGACGACGATCACCGGTCGCTGGAGATTTGGGACGTCACCTCCGAAGATGCAGGTCTCTACCAAATTACCGTCGAGAACAAATTTGGAAAAATCCAAGCCACGGCTCGTCTCGAAGTGTTGAGTGAGTATTTAAAAWACCAATGACCATTATAATCGTATCAGATATAAAAAATATTAAATCAAACGACTAAATTATTGAGATTGTATTTGGATACAGAGTTTCCAGTATATTGTGTTCTATAGTTTTAAGAAATTTCCAATGTTTTTCGTATTTTTAAATTACTGATAAGCTATCTTAAACAGATACCCACACAACGGAGTGCGATCGATCGTCGTGTGAGAGAATTTATACGCGACATATCGACACGTAAATTTAAAATTTAAAATTTTAATACCACAGTCGTTGAGCATATTATTTGATGAATGTACTGCTAAGATATTTTATGACCTTAATTTCATATTATCTATAGATAGTAAATATAGTATACCTATATGATAAGTACAACGATTAGAATTCGTTTTTATTGTTTGTGGTTTTAAATTTGTATAATAGCATAATAGGTAGGTAGTTAGCTATGTTACGTCCATAATTTTTCATMGTTTTTATTACTGTATAAAAAATAATCATTCATTTTGAATGTTGTAACAGCACACAACCAAACCACAAACGACATCCAAATCACTTCATCGTCTAACGGCAGGAGACAGTCCGGGTCGGCTGCTTGTGCGGGTGAAAATTTTACTCTCAGCTGTGATATAAGAGGCAACTCCATGTCTGACGTTACCTGGTACAAGTGAGTACCTATTATACTATTATTAAATATTATAGCTAGTATTCTATTCTGACCCCGAGGCATATTAAACTTAAATCTAAATAGWAGATGTGTAACAAATTATCTAAGTCACAGTACCCCGTGAGTTGAATGACTATGTCCCAGTCCCTATGAAAGGTTCACAGAACAATTATTATTGAGTGGAAGGTGATATTATATTTGTTTGGAGCCCAAAATAATTTATGACCATCCTGTTTTTTGTCGAGGGAATGCACGTGATGAACAGTTTTTAGATATTTATATGTTTCTCGCACTCTTTTGACGATCGTTCACTGTGCGTCACCGAGTTCGGTAAACGGAAAACTAGTATSGTATTTATAAACACAGAATACTGGTATAATCCAAAATAATAGGGTTTCCCAAAATTGTATGCAGAAATAAAAGAATGAAATATGAACGATTATTTTTAATTTTATTTTATCGACGATCGGTGGAAAACCACGAACATTTTATTTATCAAAACTATATACACWTTGTAAATATTTTAGGAGCCTTAAAAATTAAATTTTCAAGAGTATCAGTAATCTGCATTTTTTATTTATTTTGTTATAAATTCTATGGATCGTACCATTATTCCGAAAATCACCGAACTCTTACCCTTCCGCTCAAAAACATATAACCTCATGATTTATCCTGTGTAGGGACGACGAGAAAATCAAGTCCGACGACAGGGTGACTTCGTCATTGGACGATCTGGCAGCTAGACTTTCGATATCAAACTTAGAGTTGGCAGACACGGGTGTGTACACATGTGTGGCGAGGTGCGAGTCCGGCGTCACAAGRTGCTCGACAGAGTTGTGTGTGTTCGACACGAAACCGGGTACCGATTCGTATCTACAACCTCCGATATTCGTCAAGGGTCTTGTTCCTAAACGCACCGTCGACGAAGGAGAACCGGTCCAGTTGACCGTAAGACTCCAAGGTGAGAGCTCACTACATTACAATAGTATTATAGTGCTTACGTAGTTAAATCATAGACGTGTATTGACGATTTTTGCTTTTACGTTTTCAGGTGCAGTTCCTATGAGCGCCTCGTGGTTCAAAAACAACGTACCCGTTCCCGACTGTGCGGATTTTGAGTACGTGGTGGCCAACGACCGTAACGAATTCGGCTTGTCGATCGCCGATCCTTTTGTTAAGGACARCGGTACTTACAGTTGCAAAGTGGCCAACACGTTTGGTCAAGCCATATCTAGTGGACAACTCATCATAAAAGGTTTGTGCGAATTTTGCGTTAAAATATTGCTACAAAGCTGCGCAGTGTTTAAGTATTTATGACAAATTATAAAAAATTATGTTAAATGTCGTATTATTATTATTATTCTTATTATCATTATTCATCGTATAGAAATGTCAAGCGAACATCAGAGGCCAATGGCTGTCGAATTGAACAACAATTTGCATAGCGTTGGAGAAAAAACCACTTGCAATTCCACGGTCGCCACCAGAACCGCACTTCCGGCATCCATACTCAACGGCCCATATGACACAACTGTCCTGCGTGGTGCCAAAGTTGTTTTGAAGGCATCATATCGGGGCGATCCCGAACCATGTGTCCAATGGCTCAGAGGAGTGAGTCTATTACTAATAAATAATGTATTATCATAACTTATCTACGAATATGAGATATTTTAGTAAACTATTGTTATTGATATCATCAGTTAAAAATATCAATACATATTACATAGTATGTATACTTACGTAAGAAAAAACAGTAGATGAGTACAACAATTATATCAACATAATATTAATAATCAAAAAAAGTTTGGATTTTTAATTATTAAAACATATTTACTCATAATATCGATAAGAGCTTTTTCTTTTGTTTGGTATCAATGATACTGTTAATTCATTCACCAAAAACCATTCACAAAAAAAATCTATATTCTTAGATTATACAATGTACGTTTGAAAAAGCGACCACATATTGTATTGTGATAGTAATACCTAAAATTTAATAGAACATCTAACGTCGAGTTGTCACAATAATATATTTCGAATATAGGGCAAAGTTTTGGAGTCCAACGCGCATCTGTGCATAACCAACGAATGTGGCGTGTCCAGTCTGACGATTGACTCTATCACAGCCGATGATTGTGGCAAGTACGTCGTCCGCGTCGACAACGGACACGGCAACGATTTCCACTTCGCTTCGGTCGCTGTTGAAGGTACATAATATTATTATTAATTATGATGAAACAGTCGACCTACGTTGAAGTCTTCAATATAAGTCCAATGATACGCACGTTGGACACGTCAGAAGTGGAATAGAATAGATAATAATATGCTATTAAATATGGAGTTATACTATTTGTTTTTTAATTTTACACGTCACAATTCGATTAAACGGTTTTATTTTCACCGATAATATGTGAGCATTCTACGAGGGGCATGATGAGCCGCATGTCAATTATTGAATTGCTTATATGATGAATCGAAAATTCTAAATTTAAAATTTCACTTCATAATATTTTAAAAACTAACCTACTGCATTTACGGAAAAAAATATAATTTGTCAGAACATTTATTTTTGAATTTTTTCATGATATGATCCCCCTCCGGGACGTCGAATGATATAATATTATTATTCAAGCACGCGGCAACTACACAGCACGATTATTATTGTTTTCATCAACAAATAATATTGTATTCTGTGATAAACTTAATATATTGCATCGTTGCACTCATAAGTCATAATACTTGTACAATAATATTAATATGCTATACGATCTAATGGTTTACACTAATCCACTCGAACGGTTTAATAATATTAAAATATTTTGTATTATCATTTATCACTAAATGAATCTATCGCGTCGAATGTGGACTTAAATGTTATCATACCGTGCAGTGTGTTCTACTAACCGAAATAATGATACGCGCAAGCATGATGATAGGCCGCAACCACATATAACTACATAACCATATTGTTATAACGCACGACATATTGTTATTATTGCATTGCAGTATTATCGTATGTATCTACTTATAATAGACGCACTTACGCATGTCGCATGTGGGACGTTATTATTATTATGTTTCAAGCGCACGCTATGAGTAGGTATCGTGTTTGAAACCTTATATAAGTGTAACGCACAATGACAAATTTCTCTTGACAATATAATGTCATCGTTTAACAATATATTATTTTAATAACGGCCACTCAACGACGACGGTTCGATTCGCATGTGCAGAAAGCTTTTAATATTTATTGTTTTTTTTTTTTTTTTTTCGTCGGGATGTGCTGTTAAATGCGTTTATAATATTATTATTGTTATAAGTAGTAATTATTATCTCACAGGTATGCTAACTTGGCGACTGCACAGCTTTTATTGTATACAAATATACACTATAGCATATACCTACTAATATATTCTATGATGACGTGTATTATGCT